TATCCTAAGAGCGAGAGTTTTGGCTTTACACCAAGCAATCTGTTACACAATGCTGGCATTGGCAGTCTGGGTAAGAAGGATCAGTTATGTGTGCTGTTTTCCCCTCTCTCTCTCTCTCTCTCTCTCTCTCTCTCTCTCTCTCTCTCTCTCTCTCTCTCTCTCTCTCTCAACAGTCAAACAAAGGGCGTTCAAGTTTAAACCACAGGGACTTGAGAGTTATGATGCCAAATGGACAGAACATTCTGCTCAAGTGTGACGTCAAGTCCAGAGGAGGAGACGTCTTTGATATGATCATCGCTCATGCAAACCTTGTAGAACATTTTTACTTTGGCCTTGCATATAGTGATGGTAATTTACCCCATGTATTAATAATATTAATATTAATTTACTATTACAGGGTTCCCGCGGGGTCTTAAAAAGCCTTAAAAGCATTGAATTTATTAATTTGGAAATAATACCCTAAAAAGACTTTAAAAAGTCTTGAATTTTGATGGCTGGGTCTTAAAAGTTGTGCTGTATGACGTGTAACTTCTCCGTATTGTATTTTTCCTCAAAAGTTTAATTTGTCAACCACGATTATTATGATTTTCGATGTCTATTGTTCAGGGTTCTCTCAGTTCCCCATATTCCCAGCATGGAATAAGTAGCTAGCTAATGTTAAAACACAACTTAACGTTGTTCGGCACTTTCTTGTGGCCTACTGAAATGTTTTTATTTTTCACACCTGCTTGGCTTATCATCTTTTACCCATTCCCCATTTGAAAAATAAATGAACACAAGTTCAAGGATTTAGTTTTTCTTTGCTGGTAGGGACGTGAAATAGGTATTAATTTTTTATATAAATGGTCTTAAAAAGGTCTTAAAAAGACTTGAATTGAACTTGAAGAAACCTGTAGGAACCCTGTATTATAGTTTTTATTAATTTTCTTTTTTATATATATATATATTTCATTTTCATTTTAGTTAAAGATTTAGTAATTTTGTTGTGTTTTAAAATATAGTTTTTATTCATCTTTATTTCAGTTTTAGTTATTTTAGTTAAACTAAATGAAAATTCGATTTTATTTTATTTCAGTGTTTATTTCAAGTAACGATTTTGTTTTTTATGATTTTAGTTTTACTTAACTATAATAAACCTGGTCTGTTATTTTAAATATAATAAAAAATATTTATTTAATTTAAATAAGATTTTTCAAATAATTTTAAAATGTAAATAATTTAATATATATATTATCTAAATAATTGAATTATATATATATATATGTATATGTTTCTATGTCTGATATTGATGAATAATCAGGTCAGTGTGTCAGCTGGGTTTGTTCACAGTATTGTTTACTCTTTTTCAGATAATGAATTTTTCTTTCTTGACAACGACATGAAAATATCCAAAGTTGCCCCTGGCGCCTGGAGAAAAGTGCCCACTGCCACATTTGTGCTTCATTTCCGCATCAAATTTTTTGTGATGGACGTCTCTTTTCTTCTGTAAGTCTCTTCCTTTCCCTCATCTGTGACCCTGGACCACAAAACCAGTCACATGGGTGCATTTTTTGATATTGAGATCTATACATCATCTGAAAGCTGAATAAATAAGCTGTTCATTGATGTATGGTTTGTTAGGATACAACTACTTGAAAATCTGGAATCTGAGGGTGCAAAAAAATCGAAACATTGAGAAAATCGCCTTTAAAGTTGTGCATTTAAGTTTGCGATTGTGCTGCATTCACTCACAAAAATTAATGTTTTATATATTTATGGTAGGAAATTTACTAAATATCTTCATGGAACATGATCTTTACTAAATATCCTAATGATTTTTGGCATTAAAGAAAAATCCATAATTTTGATTGCCACAAATATGTGACCCGTGTGACATGTGACTGGGTTTGTGATCCAGGGTCACATTTAATAGTGTGTTTTTACCTGCTCCTGTTGGCTAAGTCCCATTTACACGTCAATGTTTTCAAGTAAAAACAGAAAACTTTTTTTACGTTTTAGCCGTTCATTTACATGTCAACAGCGTGTAAATGCAAACGTTTGAAAAACGGGTTACAAAGTGCACATTTTTGAAAACAATACTGTTATCGTCTCAGTGTAAACTACAAAAACACAAATTTGTGAAATTGCGTATTGTGCGTATAACATGTTAAAGGCGCATATAGTGTTTCTTTACAAAGTGACATCGCCATCTACTGGCCTGGCAGCAGAATACATTTTAGAATAGAATACGTTTTAGTCGTTTTTGCAGATCCTTGTCAACGTTTTGACTAGGTTGTCGTCTGTAAAATGCATATAAAAAAACGTTTTCCGCTTTTAATGCATCGTTGTCGTGTAAGTGTGCCCTAACTTTGCCCTTCGTCGTGGCAGACACAAGCTGACCCGTCATCAGTACTATCTCCAGCTGAGACGGGACGTCCTGGATGACCGGCTGCCCTGTAACGAGGAGACCTGCTTGTTTCTTGGTGCCTTGGCTCTTCAAGCCGAGTTTGGGGACAGTATGCCTGAGGTATTCCAGATCAGTGTTATTGTATTATCACTGAGATATATTATAATCTTTTATAATATATTACATTTCTCATTTTCATTTTGTTTAAGCTGAAGTACAAAAATAACTAATTATTCGTCAATATCAGAATTAAAACATTAAAAATCTATATTTTATATGAAATTATTTATTTATTACAATTATTTGAAAAATATTATTTATACATTCCCTGGGTGAGGTGACAACTTTAGTTATATAAATTAATAACTTGAGTTTTTTTATTTTCATTTTAAGTTTAGTTAAATTTTTCTGCATTTTGTTGTGTGGTTTTATTTATTTATTTTTGTGTTTAATTAGTATTTTTTATTTCAGTTTTAGTTTTAGCTATTTTAGTACATCAAGTTTAGTACAACGAGCTGAAATAAAATATGTTTATTTTTTTTAGATTTTATTTGATCTCAGTTAACGTTTATTTTATTTCAAGTAAAAAAAAAAAATATATATAAGATTTTAGTTTTAGTTTTACTTAAGTAATAAAACCCTGGTCTGGTATTTTAAAATTAATAAAATAAATATATTAAAACCAAATAAATAATCTTTTTCAAATAACTTTTAAAAACATAATATAATAAATAATTAATATATATTTTAAGACATTTTTAAATTCCAACATTGATGCATAATTAGTTTTAGTTATTTTAATACTTCAACCCGAAACTAAATGAAAATGAGAAATGTTGCCTTGGCATTTATCTGAAATAAACACATGACGGCATTTCTATGATTTGTGATTATTCTCAGTGTTGCTCTGCTATACTGTATATCTGTTCAGTGATGTCACACCTACAGTATAAATGGTGCCGAACGTTTATAAATTGTGACGATCGGCAGCTGTAGTGCCCTCGAGAGCCTCTGGAGGACACTCTCTCTTTATATTATGTTTCATTATGGACTCATTGTTTTATTATGTTCAGCTGTGTTTCATTATTGGTTATTGAGTTCCTGATTTAAGCCTGAGTTTTGCCTGTGTCCTTTGCGAAGTCTTGTTACACTGTAAGCGTGCATTTCTGAGCGTTATTCCCTGTTCTGTTTCTCCGTGTTTCCCTGGACTCTTGACCCTAGCCTGTATCCTGGACTGTTCTCGAACCTGTGCTGCCTGCCTCGACCCACGCCAGTTTGTACCACGATTTACTGGATTGCCCTTGTTTCTTTGTGTTTGTTTAAGTTGTAATAAAGTGCTGCACTTGGATCCGACCGTCTCTGTCCGTACGTTACAGAAGACTTCGCCAAACGAGGATCCAGCAGACTTTCAGCATCTATCCACCGTGGTCAAGACTCGAGCTTCCATGCTAGCCTCTCATCACTTACAGCTGACGGGACTAACCTCTCTCCTCGATGAACTAGCAAGCTCCATACTAACGTTATCTCCGCAGAGCTCAAGCACAGCCGCTAATCTAGCCAGAGCTCCCGCTGCACCTGTTCCACCGCAAACCAGTGTGAGTACTGCATCTAACTATTCCAGTCAGTCATTTCCTGAAAAGTTTGATGGCTCACCTGTGGCGTGTGAAGGATTTCTTCAGCAGTGCAGTTTGTACATGAATCATTATCCCCAGTTTTACACCTCGGGTAACGACCGCGTTTCCCTCATCTGCTCACTGCTCACTGGAAAGGCTCTGGAGTGGGCAGGCGCGCTCTGGGAACCAGGTCGGATGTCGTTCCCTTCTTATGAGGTATTTATCGCCCTATTCAGAGAGGCTTTTGAACTCCCCGCAGAAGAGGAGGATCCCGAGGAACTGCTCTTGTCTCTGCGTCGGGGAGGTTCGTTTGCGGCTGATTTCTCTCACTCGCTCCGCACGCCGTTAAAGCCTCATCTCCACAAACTGTTCGATCCTTCCTTGATGACCGTCAGAGGGGCTTTCAAGTTTACCGTTCCTGCCGAACCCACCCATCGTATCGGACCCCTCGAGCCCGTATTCCGCACTGGTTTTGTTGAACTTGCTAATCCAGATACAGCGGAGGTTTCGCCGGCCGAACTGGAGTTTGAGCACGTGCCAGCCGACTCGAAAGAATCGAATCCCGAGTCAAGTGAGTCAAGTGAGTCAAGTCCCAAGTCGAGTGAGTCAACTGAATCAGGTGAATCAAGTGTATCGAGTGAGTCAACTGAATCAAGTGAATCAAGTGTATCGAGTGAGTCAACTGAATCAAGTGAATCAAGTGTATCGAGTGAGTCAACTGAATCAAGTGAATCAAGTGTATCGAGTGAGTCAACTGAATCAAGTGAATCAAATGAGTCGAGCCAAATGAGTGTATCCAGTCAAGTCAGTGTATCAAGCCCAGTGACTCGCCGTCGCAGGAGAAGGAGGACTCGTTTGGTTCGCCAGGCTCCTGTGGTTATTCCCAGACTCCTCGCCCTGCCGGCCCCGCCTCTGCGCCTCGCCCTGCCGGCCCCGCCGCTGCGCCTCGCCCTGCCGGCCCCGCCTCTGCGCCTCGCCCTGCCGGCCCCGCCTCTGCGCCTCGCCCTGCCTGCGCCCTTCAAGCTCCGGGAGGGCTTTCCTGAACCCGTGGATTTCCCCAAGTATTTTTTGGGGGGGGGCCAAGGGTCCGGTGAAGAGACCATGAAGGCTGCGCTGCCATGGTCGTCTGCAGGGGCTTCACCATCCTGGCCTTCGCCTAATCCTGCCCCGCCCTGGCCTTCGCCTCAGTCTGCTCCGCCCTCGTCTCTGTCTGAGTCTGCTCCGTCCTGGTACCCTTCCAAGTGTGTTCAACCCTGGTCTCCTGTCAAGTGTGTTCCACCCTGGTTGCCTTCCAAGTGTGCTCCCCCATGGTCTCTTGCCCTGCTCTGGTCTCCAGGCCCCAGGTCTCTCCATAGGCCTGACCTCCTGCCTCTCCATGGGCCTGGCCCTCCATCCCAGCCCCCGTTGACCTCCCCCCGGAGCTCTTAGGAGCGTCTGGAAGCCGCTCCTTAGAGGGGGGGTTATGTGACGATCGGCAGCTGTAGTGCCCTCGAGAGCCTCTGGAGGACACTCTCTCTTTATATTATGTTTCATTATGGACTCATTGTTTTATTATGTTCAGCTGTGTTTCATTATTGGTTATTGAGTTCCTGATTTAAGCCTGAGTTTTGCCTGTGTCCTTTGCGAAGTCTTGTTACACTGTAAGCGTGCATTTCTGAGCGTTATTCCCTGTTCTGTTTCTCCGTGTTTCCCTGGACTCTTGACCCTAGCCTGTATCCTGGACTGTTCTCGAACCTGTGCTGCCTGCCTCGACCCACGCCCGTTTGTACCACGATTTACTGGATTGCCCTTGTTTCTTTGTGTTTGTTTAAGTTGTAATAAAGTGCTGCACTTGGATCCGACCGTCTCTGTCCGTACGTTACAATAAATAATACGATTACATCACTCAGGAAGCATTGAGAATGTATCAGCTCAAATTTATATTTAGCTGATGCTAGATGGTTATGTAATGCACTCATTGATATCATATTTATGTGTGAATACTTGTTTTAGAACGATTTAAAGGAAAAGCATGTTTTCTGTGTCTTATGAAGGTCTATGGGAAGAACTACTATCAGCCGGAGCACTACGTTTCCAAGAGTGTTTTGCAGAAAATGGCAATGCCTTGCCTGAAAGACGAGTTGCTACGGTTACACGCCAACAACGCAAACATGACTGCAGAGGAGGCAGAGATCGAGTTCCTCAAGGTTATATTCACTTCTGTTCTTATTGACACCCCGTATGGGATGATTCCTTATGAAAGTATAAACTTTACCTTTATATGAAGTACAGTATGTAGGGTAGACTGGGGCTAAGTGTCACACATTTATATTTCTGTTGAACATTGAACCATTGAACCGTAATAATGCTCATTATTGGCAAAGGGGCATGTTGTCACACGGTATGGGGCAAGTTGTCACAATGGAACCTGCCATTAAATTGAGCTTTTCAACTAAATGAAAACAGTAATACAACTATGAAACAACAACAATGCAAAAGGTAACAGAAATATCAAATTCAAAAAATAAAAATATTAATAATAAAATAAAATAAAAATGTTGACTTAAAGGATTAGTTCACTTTTAAAAAAAACTTTTGCTTTATAATTTACTCACCCCCATGTCATCCAAGATGTCCATGTGTTTCTTTCTTCAGTCGAAAAGAAATTAATGTTTTTGATGAAAACATTCCAGGATTTTTCTCCATATAATGGACTTCAATGGTAGCCAAACGGTTCAAGGTCTAAATGACCATTTCAGTGCAGCTTCAAAGGGCTTTAAACGATACCAGACGATGAATAAGGGTCTTATCTAACGAAACGAATGTTCGAACTCGTTCATCAAAATGAACGAATCTTTTTTCGAGTCATTGACTCGTTCATCAAAATGAACGAATCTTTTTTCGAGTCATTGACTCGAAAAAAGATTTGTTCATTTTAATGAACGAGTTCGAACAGGAGAGTCCGCAAGGCGAGCATTTGTGCCTATAAAACTTTAACTTTTTTATTTATTTTTGAAATGACCGATCGTTTCTCTAGATAAGACCCTTATTCATCGTCTGGTATCGTTTAAAGCCCTTTGAAGCTGCACTGAAACGGTCATTTAGACCTTGAACCGTTTGGGGCCCAGCAAAGTGCATTATATGGAGAAAAATCCTGGAATGTTTTCATCAAAAACATTAATTTCTTTTCGACTGAAGAAAGAAACACATGGACATCTTGGATGACATGGGGGTGAGTAAATTATCAGCAAAAGTTTTTTTAAAAGTGAACTAATCCTTTAACATTTATTCCAAATTCTAAATCTTGAGAATATGAATAATTAAAATAATTAAAAAAGTATATAATAAATAATTTTACATATATATATGAATAATTAGATCAATGTGTTAAATATTTTTTCTCTTTTTCAGATAATGAATTTTTCTTTCTTTACAATGACAAAAATGTCCAAAGTTGCGCCTGAAAAAAAGCGCAAAAGTGCATACATTTGTGTAATTAGACTTTTGACTCAAAACCTCATAGTTATTAAGATATAGGCTACATATATTGTGATATTGTGATATCTACCCTCAGACTCCCCTATATATGAAAGCCATTTAAGACACACTTACAAATATCAGAAATAAAGATACAGTACATTTTACAAAAACATTTGCTAGGTTGTAGATTATATGATATAAAACAACAGATGTACAGTTTAGGACAAAAGCATTAAGTAATATCTGTCACTCAAGTTGGCTATGAAAAATGATAGTTCTTGGTTTAACTTCTAATGCGATGAAATTCAGACATTTTTAAATTTGGGGGCCACTTTCTTTTAATATGGAGTGAAAATAAAGAATGAGAAGGATGGAAAATGTGACAGCTGCATTTGTTTGTGCTGCTCTTCATCCTCCTGCCATCTATTGGATTTATTTAAACCCATAATGACTCAGCGGGCTACTGGCCAAATATTTTTACAGACACCATTAGGTCTGAACAGCTTTTCTGGAGCGATGATTGGCAGTGGGTGTCCTACATTACATAATCTGTCCAATTGACTTGGCAGCACTGCCTCGACTCCCCCACAGAGCGTTCAGCAGCTTCCAGAGTACGGGGAACTGTTTCACCGCGTGGCCCGTGAGAAGAAGCCTGTGTTTGGAGAGCTGGTCCTGGGAGTGTGTGCCAAAGGCATCATTGTGTATGAAGTTATAAATAAGTCCCGCACCACAAGCCTTAGATTCCTCTGGAGAGAGACCAGCAGTATCACCTCAGCCGTGAGTCCACACTAATGCAGAACACTGTATCATCTTTACAGGTTTTTTGTATTCTCGTTAAAATGCAAAAGAAACATAAAAAAGTTAAAGCATGTCCTCCTATCCAAGTTAATTGTGCACATTGGAAGCATTTTAAGTAAGCTATTCGTACGATGATTTTTTCCTTAAAGTTCCTATAAAGTTTTTTTTTTTTTTTTTTTTTTGATATACATTATTTTAAAAAGTAAAAAAAAACTGTCTTTGCGGCCTTAAAAGTAAAATAAATGTGTAGGTAGTGTAAATGCCCAATAAAAAAGTCTTGTTTATGTATTTGTGTGTATATATATTAGGGCTGTCAGTTAAACGCGTTATTAACGGCGTTAACGCAAACCCATTTTAACGCGATTAATTTTTTTATCGCGCGATTAACGGTCTTTTTGGCCTAGCAAACTTTGTCGTTTTTTTTCACATGCTTTTGCAACAGGACGCGGCGCTGCGCTATGAAACCCATTAATTTCAATGACTTGCGCCCATAGACTGTTAAAAAGCTATGCTAGACCGGAAACAAAACAATAGGCACGACGCACACACTTGTTTGGGCTCGCGAGCCGGCCAAATAGTTGGTTAACGTTACGTTTTGAGTGGATGACGAGAGCGAGACGCCGAAATGGATGCCAATAAGATTCTGAATAGAAAGTTTACTATTAAAAAGTTGCCAAATGGTTCCATTGACAAGACCAAAGTGATCTGTGTGTTGTGTCGTTGTGAACTGAGCTATCATCATCGCAGCACGTCCAGTCTGAAATACCACTGATGATGGCCAAACACACACACACACACACACACACACACACACACACACAGCTGATGCGAATTCTCCGCCCCCTCGTCAATATCAGGACCTCGTCAGTATTTCATCCTTTTATTGATGGACAGTGTTACATTGTGTGAGAGATTATTTGCTCCAAGTGAGAATGTTAGTGTGAAATTGAACACAGGATATGCCAATGTTGTTTTCAATAAAAAACATTTGCACAAAGCAAGCCGATCCACTTTTCAATGTTGATAAGAGCATTAAAATGAGAAAAAATAATGGGACAAAAAGAAATCAAGAGACATTTAGAACAGATAAAAATGTGCGATTATTTGCGATTAATCGCGAGTTAACTATGATATTAATGGGATTAATCGCGATTAAATATTTTAATTGTTTGACAGCACTAATATATATATATATATATATATACTTTTTTCACCAACTATAAATGTATGACTTTAAACCCCTCAAATATGGAGTTAATATTGTGCCATAATTAAACAAACAAATCCAGCATTTTGCAAACAAACTCGATCTGCTTTGCAAAGGAAAACTTGACTCACAAACAAGCAGAAAGCAATGTGCAAGCGCTAAATTAATCCCCTAGTTTAGCGCCATCTACTGTTTTAGAAGAGGAACTCGCTCAACTGCATTTGTGAGAAAATCGAGCCGAGAGATCTCATAAAAAGCCAAGTGTCTCACAATCATAACAGACAGATGTGCATTTGTATGCACTAGATTTGGTATTTTTTCAAAGGTTACATGCAATTTGTAGGATGGGTTGTATTTATTTGTGAAATATTATCTATGCTCATTCATTTATATTTGTAAAACACAATACATATTTGTTATTCCACTGCATTTTCGCTCAAATTGACCTTTGTACTTGCACATTGCTTTCTGTTTGTTTGCGAGTCAAGTTTCCCTTTGCAAAGCAGATCGAGTTTGTTTGCAAAATGCTGGATTTGTTTGTTTAATTATGGCACAATATTAACTCCATACTCCAAGAAATATCAAAATTGAAGGAAAGAAGGTTAAGAAACACCTTTGGTACAAGTAAATTGTAGTTAGTATAATTGTATTATTATTTATTTAAAAGAAAAGTAGTAAACCAGGTAAAAAGCACATTTTGTCAAATGGAGTATCCCTAAGAAAATGTCACAATATTCGTAATTCAAAAATTAAGTATATTTGTAAAATATTATGCAAAAGATTCTGTAAGTTTATTTTTTTTTTAAATCTCTTCTGCTCACCAAGGCTCCGTTTATTTGATTAAAAATACAGTAAAAACATTTATATTGTGAAATATTATTACAATAATAATATTATTGTATAATATTATTAAAATAATATAATAATAATAAAATAATATAATATAATATTATTAAAATAACGATTTTCTATGTGAATATATAGTGAAGTATAATTTATTCCTGTGATCAAAGCTGAATTTTCAGCATCATTACTCCAGTCTTCAGTGTCACATGATCCTTCAGAAATCATTCTAATATGATGATTTTGCTTAATTATTATTGGTGCTTGATTATTAATAATGGTTCTTATGTTTAATAATGTTTAAAGTAGTTTTTGCTGCTTACTGTTTTTGAGGAAACTTTGATACTTTTTTTTCAGGATTCTTTGATGAATAAACCTTTCAAAAGAACAGCATTTACTTGAAATAGAAATCTGTATAATTATAAATGTCTTTATACTGTTACTTTTAATTTAATATTTAAAAAAAATATATATATATATATATTTTTTTTTTTTGTCTGGTTTTTTTTTGGACAAAATTCTGTTGATAATTTTTAGGTTGTGTGTGAATTAAACTAAATTAAATAGAGGACTGTATGATTTAATCTGATGATGTTGGTCAACATAATAATTCTCACTCCTTTGTTCTCATCAACACAGCGACGTAAGTTTGTCATTGAGAGCAGCACCAGTAAAAAGAAGTACACCTTTCTGACCGAAAAATCAAAAGTGGCCAAATACCTCTGCGAACTCTGCTCCGCACAGCACAAGTTTCACAAGGAGATGAGCTCTCGCCAGCTCACACACAGCCTCACTTCAGGTTAGTCCACATCCACTCCAATAAAGCTGTTCAATCCAAAGTTTTAAGATTCTCGTAGTTGTGCCTTGCTCTGTTAGTGGTTCACGATAAACAGCAGTGTACATGTGTCTGTAGAGGACAGTATTGTGCAGTATGCAGCCATGTGTCGAGCTCAGAACCACGAGGTTGCGCTCAACGACGGACGCCTTGATCCCGCTGCCGACGACTCCATGAGCAAACTCTGTGAAGACATCGCTACCCGCCTCGAAGCAAAGATCAAACTACAGAGAGACTTATTAGACTTCACCGGGTGAGAACAAACTCATGCATCCCATGTGCTACAACCATGAACCATGTCTGTCTTTGTATTAAAGAGGTGTTTGGGCTCTACTAGAATAGGTATTTTCCCCATATTCTCCATTGTTGCGGCTCCTCTCTTCCCAGTCTGTCAGTAACGCTCTGTTTACTTCCTGTCTCTATGAAGCCCCTCCTTCTAAAAAGCACACTGTGCTCTGATTGGTCGGCTGGATCAGTGTGTTGGGATTGGTCGAGCGCTTCGAGTGTGTTTGGGAAATGTCCCGCCCCTCACCGTAACCACCAGTTTAACACACTACTAACTAACTCAACCAGGCCCCGCCCCTTTATTCTGCGTATTAATTATTTAAATGAGGAATATTGTGACGTGTTCGTTCCCGTAAGAAACTCAAGACTACAATGGAGGCGTTTCAGGAAGTTCAGAAACAGTAATATAGAGAATAACTGCTTTTGGAGGGACTTTTTAATGCTCAAACAGGAACATTACACACTAAAGGAAGATGAATATGTAAAAAAAGCATAATAGGTCAAGACATTACTGGCAAAACGATTGTTTTTTCAAACCACTGGTTAGTTTTGGGCTATTTTGCTTCTAATAACATGTCGTCTTTCCTACTATTGTAAAGAAAACATCCAAAATACACATTTAAGTGTTAATCTTCTTAATTGCATCTGTAGATTTTAATTACAATACATATCTCGGCCGTGAGTTTTTCCTCCTGCTCTGAGTCAGAAATCTCCACATCAGCGGCTTTATTATATACACCAAACTTTAGTGTTTTGTTCATATCTCTATTCTGAAGTTTTGTACTGTTCACCTGGTTTATATAACATTTGATTCCTTTCCTAATAACATGGTGGAAATGGGTTTTTTGGCTGTTTACAGTATTTTCTGATTTATGGAGTGATAAAAATAGATATCCCAAATCCCCTCTGTAATCAAAGTCATGTTGATCCATTCTGTATCCAATGTGCTTATGGTGTCTTGTCTGTTTGTTTCCCTTCTAGATCCCTAAGTCCAGCTCTACAGAGAAGCTCTTGTAGTTCTTCGAAGCGTTGCTCTGAAGTCCCTTCAATGTACTCTCCTTTAAGAGGTAGGATTGACCATCAACCCATAACATGAACCTGTGTCATTGGGAAACAGCGCAATGCAGTGTGACCTTTTCTCACAGATCCCCCAACAAGTTCCCGACCTACAGAGAGGGAAATCATCTGTGTTTCCCTCAAAAAGGACCCCAAAATTGGCCTTGGTAAGTGGATTATGGATCATTACTAACTGATATGGATTGAATCTACTCAAAAATTCTTATGGGTAGATTTAATTCCATGTTTTGAGTAAAGACTACCTTCATTTATCCACCATGACACGCTAAAAGAAAATAGGTAAAGTCCACATAACATTTGTCAATACATTACAAAATGAACTTTCAAAAATTAAGTAATATAAACTTTAAATATCCACCATAACTGAACACTATCAAGTATTTTCTATTTACTCAAAGAGACATTAAAGAGGACCTATTTTTTTTACATTTTTTTACATTTCTTTCTTCAGTGTGTAATGTCGCTGTTTGAGCGTGAAAAAGGTCTGAAAAGTCACAAAATCTAACCCCATCGGGAGTTATTCTCTATATCAGTGTTTCTAAACTCCCTAAAACGCCTCCATTGTAGTCTTGAGTTTCTTCCAGGAACGAACACGCCACAATATTCCTCATTTAAATAATTCATACGCAGAATAAAGGGGCGGGGCCTGGTTGAGTTAGTTAGTAGTGTGTTAAACTGGTGGTTATGGTAAGGGGCGGGGCATTTCCCAAACACACTCAAAGCGCTCGACCAATCACAACACACTGATCCAGCCAACCAATCAGAGCGCAGTGTGCTTTTCAGAAGGAGGGGCTTCATAGAGACAGGAACTAAACAGAGCGTTACTGACAGACTGGGAAGAGAGAAGCCGCAACAATGGAGAAAATGGGAAAATAATGTGTTTTTTGATAACCTATGAGACCCCAAAAACAAAATCAAGACTTTGAAAAAGGGCATGGTCCACTTTAAATAACACTTAATTTCAACATTTACTCTCCTGGTCCAGTCCGATGAAAAGCATGCTGGGAACTAAACATCCATGCAACAAAAATGATTCAGATAGTCCCAACACAAAATGGATAAAGTAAACCTCAATTTTACATATTTAAGTGGATTAAACACAATAAAAGTACAAGCAGCATCATTTTTCACAGCATGCATACAGAATATTAATTCACTCTTTCTTCATTTTGCCTCTAGGTATTGTTATTGTTGGAGAAGACAACACTGGGAAACTGGACCTTGGTATCTATATTGCATCAATTGTACCCGGAAGCCCAGCTGACCGAGATGGACGCATCAAACCAGGTGAATCCTTACAATCATCAGATTATTGTGTGTTAATAACATCAAGACATGACCTCAGAAGTCATTGTATGAACATTTGTGAAGGTGAGCTCCATGTTTCCGTCAGGTGGTCGACTGATCTCTCTCAACCAGCTCAGTCTGGAGGGCATGTCCTTCAGCGAGGCCGCTGACATCATGCAGAACAGCTCCAGGGAGGTGGAGCTCATGGTCTCGCAGCCAAAAGGTACATCATGCTTTTAAATGATTAATATTCTGTTGCACGTGTGATATAACATCAGTACACTCTAAAAATTGTTCTTACACTGTAAAGAATTTCACTCAGAAATTGCTAGTACATTTCATTTCATAAATAATAAGAAACGGAACGGAAGAGACACATTGATATAAACTTGACATTTGTTAGACTGAAAGAGTGGTCCCTTACGAGGGAACTCTACACTGCATCGAGAATCGACTCTTTGGACATGTGACGGCATACCCGGCAGTATAAAGGTGACGCTGTCACAACACAAACTAGCTTTCGCTCTTCAGCAAGCGCTCTCTGTTATACTGTTTGTCTTATTTGGTGTTGTCTGTCAGTGAGGACTATATATATTTATCATGGCGAGTGAGCAATTCAAACTGTGTGTGCATCCCTGCCCAAGATACATCACGGGTGGAGACACACATCAGTTGTGTGTGAATTGTTTGGGAGTGCAGCACGCCCGGGCAGCTCTTGAGGGAGCTGCTTGTGGTGACTGTGAAGCACTTCCTATGAGAGTGCTGCGCTCCCGCCTGGCATTATTTGATGAACACGGTCAGGCTCGCGCTCCCCATGGTTCCGGTCCCGCGTCCGTTGAGGCGGCGCGGCGATTGAGATCATGGGGTTCGCAAAAGGATCTTGCAGATGAGAATGAGACTGCTGCGGCACCTTCTCATTCTTCATCTGAAGATTCTGAGGCTCCTGTTCATGGTGCAGAAGCTCGCGTTGCGGCTTCTTCTGCCCATGTTCAGGACCCGATGCTTGTGCTGTCTGCCTCTGAGGAGGTGGATGTGCTCAGCATCGAGGCGGACGATCGTGAACCAGACTCGCCGGTTCGCGTTCACGCCTATGAGGAGCTGATCGAGGTTGTGACTCGTGCTGTGGCCAGACTCAACATTAGCTGGCCACATGATGTGCAGGAAGTTCAGAATAAGAGCAAGTTAGATGAACGTTTCCTGCAGCACAGAG